ATTGTTGGTCAACCACTTAAAGTGCACTTGGATTGCCGTTTTGGGGTAATTTTTAGTTTTCTAAAACATCCAAAACGTATTTGATATATTATTTTCAAAAAGGCATTTTCGAAAATAAGGAAAATTTTACAACATGAAGCTCAAAATGATTTTTTTGACAAAAAAACTCAAAACAAGGAAAATAAACTTAAAATTTTCTCAAATTAAAATAATTAGTAAAATCACATAAAACATACCCAAATAATTTACGAATAATTTCATTGTCATTGTTGGAGATATACTTACAACAATTCTTTCTTTCTTTCTTTTTCTCTCTTTTTTTTTTTTTACCAACTTTAAAATTTATATTTTTTGCTCATTACGGGGTTACACAAGGAGTAAATTGAAAAGAACAAGTGCAAACTTGTTACTGTAAAGTACCTATAAGATTTCAAAGGTGAATGGTCCTTTGGCCCAATGGTGAAGATGAAAGTGATCATGTTCAAGGTCAAATTAACTTTGTGATAATAATCCCTACATAGTAATAATTTAGTCTAAAACATCCTTACCTTTAAAATATCTTTGTGCAAAACGTCCATATATTTCAAAAGTATTTGCGCATAAAGTCCCACTTTTCAAAAAAATTTGCAAAAATCATCCCTATTTTCTTCTATTGTAGCATGTTTATACACAGCAATACAAACTACCTAAATGTACCAATTCGATCAAAGCATCTCAAACACAATTCAAATAACAATTCAACCACCAACTAAGCCAAATCTCAACAAAAATTAACCAACAATTATAATATAACGATTCAGAGGCAACTTTTTCAAAAATGTTAAATAAGTACTATGCAGCAAAGATATGTTCTGACTATGCTAAACTCTATCCAATAGTTCAGAGACATTAAAAACAGGTTGTTAAGGTGCTACATTATATCCACTAACTTCATTGCACTACCTATGCAATGAAGGAACAAAAACAACAACAAAAAGAAATGTGCAGGAAAACTTGGCAAATAGAGGAATGCTAATTAGGTGTTGAAAGTAGTGCCCCTTTGCAGCCTCTCCTATTGTGTCCTGGTTTACCACATTTCGTATATGTCATTATCAGCCCCGATCTTTTAGTTGACCAGCTAGGGTTCCTAAAGTTATCTATGAAGCATTGACATTACCCTTCAACCTTCTAGATCTCTTCGGCTGACTTAAAAGAGCCACCTGATTTGTCTCTTTTCTTTTGGGCCTCCTAGCCCTCTTTATGTACACTGGTGGATCGAGAGGGTTCAGGCTTGGGATAGGCCATGAGCTTGGACCTGTGATAGGAGAAATTGATTGCTTATATGTCTTGATATATGCATTTTTCTTATAGGCTTCATCTACGAACTCCATCACATTAAAGCCCCTGGATACAATTGAGGCCATCACATTGCAATGAAGAATTCTTGATATCTATCAAGCTCGTCATGTACAAGTTCTTGTCCTTAAATCCGCAGCATGTAGTATGGTGTCGACATTTTGTAGAACTTGAAGCTTTTCATTGCCTGTGTATTCAGTCCATTCCATTCTTGTAAGTTTACTATTATTGTCCAGAATCTTCTAAATTCTAAGTCCTACTGTTGCTATTCTTTGATCAGGGGACTTCTTACGGGCTACAATTCTCTTAATCAAAACACTATTATCTCCTCTAGCATGGTCATTATGGGTTTCTCTCTTGCATTCACAATTGTGCAATTAAACAGCTCGCACAAATTGTTGAGAAGCATGTCACATTGATTCCATTCTTTGAAATAGAATTTACTCCAATGAGCAGCTGGTTTTGGTTCAAGTAATTCATAAGCAGCCGGGTCTAAGTCCAACATTCGTTGCATGTGCTGAAGCCATTGTGATACAATAGTAGCTCTGGCTATATCCCATAAACAATTCGTCAAAGCCAATCCCTTGTGACAAATACTAAAATTGTTGTATAGATGTCTAATGCACATTCTGTGGTCCAAATTCTTAAACAATGACTCAAGTGCATTAGTCACTTTTGCTTATTGGAAATGAATATCCAATGCTGACTGTTGTGTAACTACAAATCGTCCTTTAACAAATCCAAAACCATCTCCAATTATCCATATTCTCAACCTCATCAACTGCATACGCTATTGTTAGCATCAACATCGACTGCAGTTAATAATTGCCCACCATGTGTGTCTTCAAAAAGCAACCATCTACCTCAATCAACCCTTCTACAGCCCTAACGAAACTATCTCTCAAATCTTCGGAGAAAATGTAGAGCCGTTTGAATTCTCCAGCATATCCCTCAACTACAGTTGTGAGCCCAACATTTGTCCTCTTCAACTCCTCACAATTTTTTCAAGTGCCTTCTCCTTTGTTCTATGCACTTATCAAGGTGGAGATGTCACCCAAACCATCCCGCTAAACCCCCTCAATGAATGTACTTACTAACATGTTTGCGTTAGCCTTCCAATTGGATAATTAACTGGCTGCCAAATAGGTTAAGGTCACTCTAAAGTTCTTTTAAACCGTAGGACAAATATGGTCTTCTACAAAAGTTTTTATCACAAAACTTGTCTTATTATGCTCATTGGTAGCATACAATACCTATGAACAATCTCCCTTATACTTAGCTCTCAATTTGTGAGCGTCATACATTTTAAATTTAATCTCTCTATTCCTTCTAACTATGTTCAGTGATGGTGGCATTTTGTACTGACTTTGACTCAAATTCTAAGCTTACACACTCAAAAAAACTAATGCATAAAGACCTCATTAAGCTAAAGTACAAAATAGATTTAAATTGAAGTGGAGAATAAGTTCTAGTTACCTACTCTGAAAACTAAATCCTAAATATCTATCACCACATTGAAAGAATCATTGGAAACCCAACTTCTTGAAGTTGTACCCCCTCTCTCAATATGAATGCTTCGTAAATCATCCGAGCCTCCATAGTCAGTATTGAAATCCCTAACCTGCTGCTCATCTCCTAAACCAAACCCAAAGTCGAAATTAACTCTTTGACTCCTAGTTTCAGTAGTAGCTATGGGATCCTACTCTTGCTCCATCTCATAATTGGATTCCACCAAACCTTCAACTTCTTCTTCCTCCCTCGATTCTTCATTTTGATCTTCAAGCACAACTCCATCCTCTTTCACACTCGAATCACGGACATTTATATCTTTCTCATTATATTATTTTAAAGTTACCTCATACTGTGACCACAGCTCTTCAACATTCTCTAGCAAAAGTTGGTTAGACTAATTACCTTCAAGTGTTTGGTCTTCATCAACTTGTGAAGACCAAGGATGCAACAACAATACATATGATTACACTGGGACTACTACATATATATTCACATCTGGATGCATATCTCTATCCATAAGCATTCTCTTGATATTATCTTCACTCTCCAATCTGGTCAACTCGTTCCCTAAACTCATTTTTTGGTTCTTATAGTAAAATTCCAACACCCTTTCATCACAAGTTCCATGTAAGAATTTTCTCAAGCTCTCTCTGGTGCACCATTTACCATGAAAGAAGTCGAAGAAGAGCACGAATCTCCCTTCACATGCCACTTTGTTTGGCTTATATTAAAATTGGCTCCATAATGTACTTCAACGATGAAATATTGAGAATTAACACCTGCATACAATAGTATAAAGTTTACATTAAAATCAAGCAACAAATTGGGAAATTTCATGCTTTGATTCGAAACGCCTAAGTGAGATAAGCCCAGTGACAAAGATACTCTGAATGCATCACTAAAATGGACATAAGTTGGGGGATTGGACATTGAAATTATGTGAATGCACAACAGAATTGGATGAATTCAACTAGAAATTTAGGGAATGAACACCATACCATAAATGGGTCTCTCATCATCGGGATTTCTCAAAAAATGGAAGAAACATTTTGCTCCTCAAAGGTCTGTATAACAATGATAAATATCATCAAATTTCGACATAGATTCTCAGTCATGCAAAACACCAAATTACGAAATGAAAAGAAAAATACCCAACCCGTAATGTTTCTTACCTTCGCTCTTCCAAAAATTCTCACTACGTTGTTCCACTGCGTGACCACGAGATGAGATGAGAGCATATGCTAGGAAAATGGAAACAATCTTGTACAAATAGAAGAATGGAAGAAAAATGGAATTTTTTTAAGAAGAAAGCGGTATGGAACCTTCGCGCGAAAGAGAAGATGAAAGGGTGTAAATGGATTGAGACTATTTTGACCTTGGTGTTTGAAAAGAAAATCGTATTTTTGTACTGAATTAATGGAGCAAGTGACTGTCAATGGACGGAATGACGTTTTCTACGAAGAAATGTAAAAATAAGGGCAAAAATATCAAAAAATGAAAAGTGTTGACATTTTCCACAATAAATCTAAAAGGTAAGGACGTTTTCCACGATAAACTTGAAAAGTAAAGATATTTTGTGATGATTAACCATAACCAAACATTGAATTATAACTCCTGTTAGTTGGATTAAAATTAGATTTTCAATAGATTTTGATTAAAATAAATAAAATATGTAGTTGAAAAATTATTAATTCAATAAAATACGTTACTCAAATTAATTATTAACTTTAATTTAACCAAGAATAAGTCTGGTTGTACAGAACAGACACATGCCGGTGTGGGTGGGTGGACGAGGGTTGCGTACAGCCAACTTGGTTCTTTAACCAAAAGCTAATGTTCAAGAAAGGACAATGTTATACATATCGAATTTTTTATTGAATTTTTTGCCTACTACTCATAATTGGGGTGTTGACTATGTCGACATTTTTATATTTACATGAAACCCACCATATATTGTAAGAGGGGAACACCATTCGAAACTCCTGTACAAATGGAATTTTCTCTCAAAAAATAATACCTAACGTGAGTTATGAGGACTCTAATGACGCAGGCAGAAAAGAATTTTGGAGCGCAAGTGAGCCCTACAAACCGTACACGCGGTCCCCAAAATATGCGTTTCTTTTTCTATATATACCCCATTGACCACAGGGTTTCTTTGATTCTTCCTAGTCAATGAGAAAAATCCTGCAACCTAATACACATTGATTTGTTAATATCAAGAACTTCTTAATTGAAAAAAAAAAAATGTCTGATAATTTTTGTTCGGACTGCAAGCGGCACACGGAAGTGGTATTGGATCATGCCGCGGGGGATACCGTGTGCTCCGAGTGCGGTCTCGTGCTGGAATCACGCTCCATCGATGAGACTTCCGAGTGGCGTACGTTTGCTGATGATTCTGGGTCGAATGACCCGAATAGGGTTGGTGTGCCCGTGAACCCGCTCCTGTCCGATGGCGTTCTGTCGACTTTCATATCGCCTGGGCTTAATGGACCGAATGGGGATGCGTCTCTCGCCCGGTTGAAGAACCGCGGCGGTGATCCTCACCGGGCCATTGTCGTGGCCTTTAAGTCCATTACCAACATGGCTGATAGGTCTGGTTTGTTTCTTTTTGTTTTAATAAATTTTAGTGTTGGGGATTTTAGAAGGGTTTATAAAAGTTGAAAGGATTCTTGTTTTATTATCAATGAAAGTGTTGTAAAATTGGAAACTTTTTATTTGTTTTCTTGGGGTTTGTTGGAACTCTTTGATAAGGATTCTTGTTTTATTATCAATGAAAGTATTGTAAAATTGGGAACTTTTTATTTATTTTTTTGGGGTTTGATGGAAGTTACCAGGGAAAAAAAGGAAAGAAAACTGATGAGAGTGCATTGATTTTGAACAGTCTGATTCGTAACGGAGACAAGAGAGCGGAAAAAGCAGTAAAGTAGAAGAATTGGTTTAGTGGTCGACATTAACGTTTATACTTGAATTGGTTGTTTCTTGATTCTGGAATTGAATCTGAGTTAACAGGTTTAACGAGCACGTTCAATTTCTAATCTCGTTTATGAAATTGAATCTAATAACATAATTCGAATTTTGACTGAGAAATTACTGATTATTATGTCTTCTATTGTTTTCAACGTTCGAAGAGTTCTTTTTGTTAGTGGAATGGTGATTTTGTAGTAGAATCAGAATTTGTCTCTGATGTCACTGGAGAGAATCTTTAGTAGGGCGGTCGCACCACATGTGCCATGCCCTATCAAGGTGCACCACCTCGGCAGGTGGCCCACCACACACCCCCGAGGTGTGTGTGCCACCCGCCGAGGTGGCATCTCGGTATTGGGCGGTCGCACCATCCATGTGGTGTGACCGCCCCCTGAAGATTCTTGAGCTGTAGGGAAGATGATTACGTTGATGGTTGACAAACATTTTTCCATGTTAGACATATGCGGAAAAGTCATTGACTAAATGAGTCTGAGTCTCTTTCGATTATCTTTCAGACTGATATTTTGTTACACTAAACTGATGATGATATCGGGTGGATTTTTTCATATAAGCTACCAGTCTGGAAGATAACCATTTCATGTTTCAAGTCTTATAATTTCAGTTCTCTTTTCATTTGCTCAATGGCTGTTTGATAGGAATCAAAATGAATACAGTTGATATTTATTCTTTTTTTTCCCCCTGCTTTCCAGGTTGAGCCTTGTGACAACCATTAAGGTATGGCTTGGGCTCATATATTTTCTTCTGTCAAAGTGTGTGCCTGCATAGAGATACAGAGTTACATTTAGTTTGATAAAATTCAATATTCACTTCTAATTTTTCGATGTGCTTAGAGTATATCTTTTAGTCACTTTACTAGCATGTTTGTTTCTCTGTCTTTTCCTGTCCATCTAGTTTATTATCTTTTTGCATGAGTGGTCCACACCACTGTCTCCTTTCTTATTTATTTATTTTTTTTTTTTTTTTTCCTTTTGCTGCGGGTTGGTGGGGTGGCTGGTGGGGAAGGTGGACGCTTGATGGCTTCATGAAAGGTGAGGCCTGGATGTTTTAGATAGATTGCTTGCAGGTGACGTGAGATTCTGTGCTGTCTTGTGACATGAGATGCAACCTTGTTGTCAATGATCACCAATATAATTTTCTGTTATTTTTTAAAGTCAAACTCCCTATATGTTGAATCTGCCAAGTTGCTCAAAATGGATTATTTATATCATTGGAAGGATTTTTCCAATGCTTGATATGTTGACATATCTTGCAAATTGTCATGTTTTTACTCGGTCTGACTTTGGATTCAAACTTTTCCCATGATGGTGCCATTTATATGAAGGATCGGGCAAGTGAAATATATAAAAGGTTGGAAGATCAGAAGTGTACTAGAGGAAGAAATTTGGAGGCTCTGGTGGCTGGCTGCATTTATATTGCTTGTCGGCAAGAAGGCAAGCCTCGCACCGTGAAAGGTGCCACCTGTAATCTCTTCCACATTTGGTTTACTATTATTCTGTGTGTGAAGTCTACTGAACCTATGGGTATGAACTAGAAATTTGCTCTATTGCATCTGGAGCTTCAAAGAAAGAAATTGGCCGAGCAAAAGAATTTATTGTGAACCAATTGAAGGTTGAGATGGGTGAATCAATGGAGATGGGTACTATACATGCAGAAGACTATTTGGTGAGTTTTTTTAGCAGGCTGTTTAACTGGATCTTTTATGCTTCCATTCCAAGTCTCTCCAAGATCTTTCTGTGGGTAGTGAGACTTTGACATTCAATTTATTATAATCCCAATACTTCATTATATGTTTTTCTCCAGAGACGTTTTTGTTCTAATCTTGGTATGAGACATGAAGAGGTCAAAGCTGTGGAAGAAACAGTATTGAAATCAAGAGAATTCGACATAAGGTATTGTCATATTATTTGCCTTATCATGTTCAAACCATTTCCTTATCTTTTCTAAGAAACTTTTTGAGTTTATTAGGGTTGTCAAAGTTTTCACCGACCTTACCTTGACATATTGAGAAGCACTAGTACTGGACTTGACAATGTTAACATCCCTCCCTTGAAAACACCCACATAGGGAGTCAGACAACTATGCAAAACTAAGTCAAGAAGTTCTTGTTGTGCTTGACATTGTTTCTCGTGTAAGAAGCTCTTGTTATGCTTGAAAATGTTTGTCATGCAAGAAAGCTGTTTCTTCTTATATCTGTAGAACGTTGCACAAGATGAACTGCTTGAATGGTAAGTAGAACTTTAGGAAAGGGAAAAGAAAGGCGACATTGATCTCTCTGAATCATGTCTGGGATGCTACGATTACACTGACAATGATCTGATATACAGACCATGATGGCATCGACTTATCCATCGTACATAATAAAACAAGCTGACAATAAATTCCCCTTGTAAATACCCTGAATTTGTAATCAAATGGAGCTCATGATTTTAAATGAAACAGAAGTATAGATGAAAACCAGTCTTTGTCCTTCATACCTTCCATTTGAAACTTTATTTAACGTTCCTAAAAGTTTCTATTTTTCCATATATCACCCTATGCTCAGGAGTATCATTATCCTCTCTCTTGTAGGAGGAGCCCTATATCTATTGCTGCAGCAATCATTTTCTTGATTACGCAATTGTCAGACTCAAAGAAACCCCTGCGAGGTTTGTCCATTTACCATGTTGTTTGTTTGTGCGCATACATGATTGAAATTCGAATGGTGTCCTTGCAGATATCTCAATTGCAACTACAGTTGCAGAAGGGACTATCAAGAATACGTACAAGGATATCTACCCCCATGCTCCAAAGATAGTACCCGACTGGTATACAAAGGAACGGGACCTCAAGAACCTTTGCTGTTTTAAGTCCTAAGCAAAAGAATAATGAATCAGTCAGTTGAATACTTGTCCATTGGGTTTTACAGATTTTTGTAGGATGGTAGACACAGAAATGCGAAAGTGCTGATATTTCTCTTTTGTTACTCAATAGCAGTAAGCAGTCCAGTTACAAAATCGAATGTTTCAAAATATTTCACCATTGTTTATCTCTTGATAAGATGAAATCAGAGTTTCAAATGTACATTTTGGCAGTTATGTTTTAAAGTTCATGTATGTGTTGTCTTTGGGCTTCCAACATCTATAATATCACTCCAGAGAGACGGTGGGTTGGGCCTATTTTCAGATATGAATCAGTTCTTGTTGTTATTGCTACTGTGTTTATCAACCAGTCGTGTCAATGATCACCAGTGCTGATAGATAGCATTAATGATTTAAAACATTTTTAATAGATGTTGACGTTCCAAAATAATTGTAACATTGCCAGGTCGAAAACAAAACACGGAATAATAATAATAATAATAATAATAATAATAATAATAATAATAATAATAATGCCAATGATATGAAATGTACTGAAATTTTTTTACTTTTTTTTTTTTTTATAATGGGGAATTAAATATTAGCTTGTGTTTGACTCATGTTTATAAAATGCTTATAAATATGGATCTTGCTATATGTACATCAAATTTTGCATAATGGGT